GTGAGGACTGGCGAGACAGGAGCGCGCGGCGTCCCGGGGATGGGTGCCAACCTGTGCCCGCCGCCGGGCTCCCCAGCCTGGCTCTGCAGCCTGTGCTGGGTAAAGGGGAGGAGACCTGGGGCGCTGGGCACTGGGGAGGGAGCAAGTGATCCAGCTCATGGTCGCACCAAGCGCAAGGGCAGCGCTGGCCTGTGGTGCCCACTGTGCCCCCTTCCCTCCTCAGCTCTGTGGCAGAGCAGCTGAAGCGTGGGGAGACGGTGCGGGCCGAGGCTTTCGACAGCGTCACCATCTACTTCAGCGACATCGTGGGCTTCACCGCCCTGTCAGCTGAGAGCACCCCTATGCAGGTGGGCAGCGGCATGGTGCCACAGGCCGCGGGGAGGGACGTACCTGCTCGTAGCCCCGCGCTCACCTGCACTCCTTCCAGGTGGTGACGCTGCTGAACGATCTCTACACCTGCTTCGATGCCATCATTGACAACTTTGACGTGTACAAGGTGGGGGATATGTGCGCACGCAGCCCACACAGCGTGGTGCTGGCGCGAGGGGACACGGGGACGGGATTGAGGGCTGGGCATGGGGGCTCCCAGTGAGGCCAGTGCTGACGGGGCAGTGCGGGGCCTGCTGCTCCCCCAAACCCACCGCCGCACGTGGAGACCATTGGCCTACATGGGGGTGTCGGGGCTGCCAGTGCGCAACGGGAAGCTGCACGCCCACGAGATCGTCCGCATGGCCCTGGCCCTGCTCGAGGCCGTCAAAACCTTCAAGATCCAGCACCGGCCCAACAACCAGCTCTGCTTGTGGATCGGCATCCACACTGGTGAGCCCCATGTGAGCCCTGCATGTGAGTCAGCCCTGCTGGGCCCACGCTGGCCCATGTGGAGGGCACAGGGCTGCAGGGAGCTGCTGCCACCCCTGGGTGACCCTGGTGCCACACTGGGAGAGGCGCTGGGCTGGGCTGCAGCTGGGAGCTGCCCTCCCACCACGCAGCAGCTCACACGCTCCTGTGACCGCAGGCCCTGTCTGCGCTGGCGTCGTCGGTCTGAAGATGCCCCGGTATTGCCTGTTTGGAGACACGGTGAACACGGCCTCGCGCATGGAGTCCAACGGCCAGGGTGTGTGCCGGGGCCAGGGGCGGGGCCCATAGCGGCAGGGGGGACCCACCTCCCACACCTCTTCTCCCTCTGTATGTGCCCCAGCCCTGAAGATCCATGTCTCGTCCACCACAAAGGAAGTCCTGGATGAGTTCGGCTGCTTTGAGCTGGAGCTGCGTGGGGATGTGGAGATGAAGGTGAGGCCTGGACGAGGTGGGGGACAGGGAAGGCATCCACTTGTGCAGCTGGGCAGTGCAGTTGAGAGCTGGGAGCCCTGGCAGATGTGCCGGGTCACATCCAAGTGGGAAGTGGTGGCACCAGAGCCCCCAGGGCGAGTGTAGGACGAGGTCCGCGCTGCAGCCAGGCTGCAGGCTGGGGAGGATCTGACTCCAGGGCTGGCTCAGTCGCGGCGCTGAGTGCTCTCCTCCACCACCAGGGCAAGGGGAAGATGCGGACGTACTGGCTGCTGGGCGAGATGAAGGACCCCCAGGGCGTGTGAGCCCGGCCGCGCCACCCCGCGGAGCCCCACGCCGTGCTCCATATCTGGCCACGCTTCCCTGCGCTCTGGGGGCCATGGCATGCGCCGGAGCGCATGGGGCTACCTAGCACCTGCGTCTCTCAGCTCTGGCCTCCTGGAGCAGGAGGCAGCTCCTGCCCCTGCACAGGCACCAGCAAAACCCACCTCCCCCAGGGAGGATCCGTCCCCATCCCTGCTCTCTATCCCCCAGCCCTTGCTCCTGCTCCCCTCCCGGCTCAGCTGGCTCTGAGCCCGTTCCCTGGGGCCTGGCTGCCTCCACCCCGGGCATTTTGCCTCCTCTTCTCCCTCCTCGGGCCCTGACAGCCCCTGGCGCCCCTCCTCAGGGGCGAAGGAGGGGGCGCCCCCAG